TTATTTATTTATTTATTTATTATTTTTAAAATGCACTTACTGGCTTACAGTGGGTACCAACACGCCAGCAAGCTAGTTAATTAAAATAAGAAGAAAAAATATGTCATAAAAATAATAAAAATAGAATACAATACAAATAAATAATGTCAAATTAATAAATGTCAAATATTTGTAGTACATGTCCAAATACATAAAATCTAGGATATTGTATATTAAATCTACAAATAAAAAGAATCAATATGTCAATATCTCTACAATAGAAATAACTGTGAAGAGCCTTAATAATTAAGAAGTACCAAATCATATTTACGAATATAAAGTCACACATTTAGGTCAAAAGGTCATCATTATTGAATAGCGTTAAATAATTTATTGACAAATGTTTCAGTTTTAGAACATAGTTTTATAAAGTGGTCAGCAAATATATCGATATCATTGTCATGTCTCATACGTCATACATTATCAAACTCTGACGTATCTCGGAGTAAATAGGGGTAGGCAAAAAACACAACTATGTAATATTATGCGGTAATTAATCGTCCAGTCACTGCGCCAACCGAACAGATACACGATATTTAAATTTAATTGAAACTAGACCAAAAATTTCATGTAGTTAACCTAATTTGATAATCATAATTGCATTTGTATGCATTTAGGTACATAATCAATTCGTTATTTATTTTACGACTCACGTAATTGATATTATTCCTAATTCCATAAAATTCCAATAAGAAACATTGCTGTAGCTTATTCTGTAATACTGTCGAACTTAAACGATTTATTATAGCCGTATTTTTAGCTATTAGCCCGAAATTTTCTTTTACATTGAACCTTTATGACTTCTGTGACATGCCCCCGAGAAATGTTACGGTTTCAAAACTACACCTTGTATAGTAACACACAACGCAAGCCTTGTTTCACGGCAGTGTTCTACAAGGCCGTGGTACCACGCCGGTCGAGCTGCCCATTCGTGCCGTAGCATGGCTCTCCCACGAGATCATGTTTAAAAACAATCTGAATGAATGAAATGTTTCTTCGTTTAGCATACACAAGCACTCATTAAGCTATACATAACCAGCCTATCATGACCTCGTTTTGTATGATCTTTCCGGACATACAACGATCACTTTATATTGGTTATCACAGCTTCATGTGTACTACTTAAGACAATGCGAACAGTTATGAATTAATAGATTCATAATAATTATATTGTTTTGTCTAATTGTCTATTACTTCATCTAGTATAGAATGTTTGACATAACATAACATCACGCCTTTTATCCCCGAAGGGGTAGGTAGAGGTGCACGTTGCGTAACTTAATGCTACTGTACGACGTAACAGCCAATTTTCACTATTTATAGAGGAGGAGTTATCTCGATTAGCTCCATCACCAGATCGACTCCAGACTTTTATCAGATTGTAGTGGTTATAAATACTTAAAAAGTCTAATTTTCAAAAAGTTCCCTCGGTTTCCCTGGGATCCCATCATCAGATCCTGATCTGATGATAATGGGGCAAAAAACGAGCTTACCCTTTCAAATGCACGGGCCTGCGGACGGCGAGCATGGATGGCTCGCCACCCGACCAGAACCAGACCCGAACGTGAGGCGCGTCGCGTTCCGCGCGCGCCTCAAAGAGCCATCAGGCCACCACAGATGGGGCCCAATAGGGCTGATGCCGATACGGAGCCGCGGTGGACTTACGGGTTGCCGGGGCTCCGGCTCGAAGGGTAAGAATAGGAACGGGGTGGTATTTAGTCAGTAAGAGCCTGACACTCCCTCCCGCCTCACCGAGGCGGGAGAAGACATTCGATGATTTTTCCCCCTTAAAAAAAGCCTTTCAAAATAAATTATTTTAGAAATCGGTCCAGCAGTCTTAAAAATACGCAGTCTTTTGAAGTCGGTTGAAAACAGCATTACATAAGAATTACTTTGATAACATTATTGTGTATGTATGAGTCAACCATTGTCATTCAATCGTTTGTGAATGAATAGTACTACATAATATAATGTTATTAAACATGATGGAAACTAAACGATTCACGGCCAAAATGAATAAACCATGTAAATCCAAGTGTGGAGCCATGCTTCGGCACGAATGGACTGGTTCGACCGGAGTGATACCACGGCATCATAGTGAGGACACAGTGAAGAATATGATGGTGGTGTATCCTGCGTGGGCTGAGCAACGCGGTATCCTCAGGGATATGATCGGCGACGGCGACCTCTCGCGTCCAGCTTTGATATAGACCATGGTACGGAGCGAGGGGGACTGGGATGCCGTCTCCTCCTTCTGCGAAGCAGTCATGCTAAATTCCTTCGCAAATCCTTGGGAATTTGGGGAGAACTGTACTAACCTAACCCTCAAAAGACCAGCAACAATCTTATAACTCATCTAGGGTTGCGAGTATTAATGGGCCGTGCTGATTGGTTAACATCAGGTGATATGTCTGATCGACACTCGTATTGCCAATATATCCCATAAAAATGGATCCTAATGCAAAGATTTAAAGATTCAATCTTACAACACCCGCGGGAAGCGGAGAGGTGGTTATTATTGCCGATCTTGGCAATAAGTGGTGTAGTGGGAACACTAACAGGGTTCAAAATAAAACAACTATTGTGCTCTAACGGATCTGCTGGTTTGATAAATGCTCTAATGATACTAATTTATTCCAAGTTGGTCAATTATCCTATCAAAGTCATGTGGGAGAAGTGTGGGAGAGCCATGCTTCGGCACGAATGGGCCGGCTCAACCGGAGTGATACCACGGCCTCACAGAAAACCGACGTGAAGCAACGCTTGCGTTGTGTTTCGTCGTGTCATTGAGGTTACCGGAGGCCCAATTACCTTCCCTTTCCCCAATCTCCCCAATCCCTGAATCCCCAACGAACCTCAAAAAAATAAAACCCAAAAAGCCGGTGACGCACTTGTAACGCCTCTGGTGTTCCAGGTGTCCATGGGCGACGCCGATTGCTTACCATCAGGTGATCCGTCTGCTCGTTTACCGGCTTATGCCATAAAAAAAAATGTAACGAAACCATAGCGCGATCTAACGAGCGAGGGGTAAAACTTTTTAAACAAATTGATTGCTATGGTTTCTAATTTACATTTTGATCACAAACAGGTGGTGACAGAAGTATTTTACTCTACCGTCGTCACAGTATGAAGAACAAAATTTAT